GCGGAGATGCGCGTGCTGCTGGAAGCCGCGCAGTGGGACCTCTCCGTGGCGAGGCCCGCCCCACGGAGGTGGGTGAGTGAGCGGCGGCGGGGGGCCCACGCGGAGGAAGGTTCAGGGGCCCCAGGCGGAGGAGGAGGAGGAGGAGGTCGAGCAGGAGCTCCCGATCCACCTTCATTTTCTGCTCCTCCCTCCTGCCTCCCCTGCTCCCCCTCCCCCAAGTCCCAGGAGGGCCCAAGGCCCGAGCGGGGGAGGCAGGGGGAGGAGTTTTGGCTTAGCGTGTCGCGCCGCCGGTTCTGGCCCGCCGCGCTTCGGCGCGACTTTCTGACTAGCCATTTCCCGGTCCCCAGGCGTCCACGGGCCGACCATTTTCCAGCCCCCCGCCCCGCAGAGTGGGGCGACACGCTATCCGCTCGCAGGGCACAGCGTGTCGCCGAGGCCGCGCGGCGACACGCGAACCAAGGGTTCTTGACGGCAAGGGGGGGGGGAAGGGGGGAGGAGGGAGGGGGGAACATTCATGTGTGGACGAAGGAGGGGAGGGGGAGGGGACGGATGAGGGAGGCGAGAGGCGGTACGCAGGACGGGATGAGGAGGAGGGGGAGAAGGAGGAGGAGGAGGAGGAGGAGGAGGAGGACCAGTGCAAATTCAAAATTCATCAACGATGTTGAAATACACCCTCCCTCCAGGATCCCTCTTCACAGGCCCCTAAAAGAGGCCATTTCCACTAAGGGAGTTGCCCCATTGAGGGGACAACCGCGTGAACATCTTGAAGCGCACCATAACACCATTTTCATGACTTCAGCGCCACGAGTGAGCCTGACGGTTACGTATTGGCGATCCTGGATCGTGCCAGAACACAATTCTTGGAGGTCTAACACCGTGAGTCAAGGTAAATGCTGCGTCCTGACAAACCAGAATCGCTCCAAAACACCGTTTTTGGTACGTTAACCAAGAGAACCAATATCAGCCAGCATTGACTCCAAATAAATAGGAGGACAGGAGGAGGACGAGAGGAGGATGGGAGGAGGACGAAAAGAGGACGGGAGCAGGACGGGAGGAGGACGGGAGGAGCAACATCAAGCAAACGCAAGCAAGCAAGCGGAAGCAAGCAAGCGCAAGCGAGCAATAACAAGCAAGCACGAGCCAGCGATCAAGTGCAAGCAAGCAAGAGCAAGCAAGAGCAAGCAAGCGAGAGCAAGCACGCAAGAGCAAGCAAGCCAGTGCCATTGGAAAAAGGGGGGGCGTCATTGGAAAAGGGGGGTGCCATTGGAACAAGGGGGGGTCCCAATTACTTCTGATGAGCTAGGACTCCTATAAGGCAAACCGATTTGGAGAATGGAACTTCTGCAAATGGTTTAAACGAATGCGCGCGGCGCGAAAATGATAGCCACATTTGACAGCGAACCGCCTTCAGTATGTGAAACTCTGGCAAACAGTTAAAACGAATGTGCGCGGCGCTAGGGTGAGAGCCACATGTTTAGAACCACCCGCCCTCAATCAGTGAAACGGATTCCAAAGTTTTAGAACGAATGTGCGCGGCGCTAAGGCGAGAGCCACATTTTGATAAGGACCCGCCCTCAAACTGTGAAGCTTTTGTATTTTGTTAAAGCGAATGTGCGCTGCACCAAGGTGAGAGCTACATTTGGAGAACCACCCGCCTTCAATCCGTGAAACTGGTTCAAAGTTCTAGAACGAATGTGCGCGGCGCTAATGCGAGAACCGCATTTTGACAAGGGCCCGCCTTCAAGACATGAAACTCTTGCAAAATGTTTAAAACGAGTGTGCGCGGCGCTAAGGTGAGAGCCACAGTTTGAAAACCACCCGCCCTCAATCCGCGAAGCTCTCGCAGTTTGTTTAAACGAATGCGCGCGGCGCTAATACGCGAACCACATTTTGAAAACCACCCGATCTCCATCTGCGAAGCGGTTGTCACGTTTAAGCATCAGGGTTTTAAGTGTCGAGGATGTCGCAGGCGAAACGCCCGGCCCGCCCTTTCGACCAGCCTCGGAGTGCAACAGGGAGGAGTGATCTAGAAGGAAAAGGAGGAAGAGGAGGAGGAGGAGGAGGAGGAGGAAAGGAGAGGAATTCTTGATACCTCTCCCGTCCCCCTCCTGCCTCATCCCCCCCTTCCCGCCCACCCAACTCGCAGGACACGGCGGCGGTCGCGGCGACCTAACGATCTAAACGGTTACGTATGGTATGGTCGACCAGCGACCGCCACGCGACGTTCGTGCGCGTTGTGGGCTTGACGGTGTGGGTGCAGTGGGCCGTGGGTGTTGGTTAGTGGCTTTTTCTCGCCGCGACCTGACCTGGTTCGTTGGGGTTTGGGTCTAGGGGGTCGAGGGTGTCCCAGGTGTTGGTGTCGCGTGTCTGTCGTGTCATTCTTCCCTTCCTTATCTTCTCCACACGTGGGCTGCATCGTTTGTTGCCCTGCTTCTTTTCGGTTTGTCTCTGTCTCTCCCTCTCTCTCTCTCTTTCGCTTCGTCTCTCTCTCTCTCTATATACATATATCCTTCTTTCATAGAACACACATGCGTCTGGGAAATGCCGATATTGGTGTTGAGAGTTTAGAGTGTGTGATAGATCGACGCATCCAGTATGCGGTTGGCGTTTGAAAGATGGCGTGCGCTGTGGCGCTGCTGGCTCACTTGTTCCACGCTATTCTCCACCGTTGGGATCGCGTGCGCCAATAGGGGGTGGCAGTTCCCCAAGCTTCCTTTGAAAAAAACTGGACCACCCCCCCTTGAGAGGGGGTGAGGGTGGTTTCCACTGATTTTCCCCCGGACCACCGCCCCCCTCAAGGGGATTTGTGGGACGGGTGTTCAAGCTGTCGTCCACGATGAGGCCCTCGATGTTGCGGAGTGCGCTGTGGAAATTCACTAACGCGAGAATGTGCGCCAGCATGTAGTTTTGCACGGCCACTCGATGTGAAACCCTCGCAGGATTGGAACTGAAATTGTTTACGCCACCAGTGCACATGATGAGTCACAATATCCAGCCCACAACCCTTGCTGCAAGAGAAGCAAATCAGAAAGTGATATCCTTCTATGCCGTATTCAGGCTGAGTCTTGAGAGGGTGCGTCCACCCTCCCGCCCAATTGTGAGCCGATTGGCGAGAGGAAGCATTCAGCACGAACGAGAGAGAGCAACAGCAGCAGATCATTACCCCGTCAAATCCCTTGGCATTCATCTGCATATTGATACGAATGTCATTAAACAAATCCCCTTTCAAGGATGGTTTGCGACAGGGATCGAGATTCTATCCCCCAGAACCTGCAAACAACACCCTCAAGGGGGGGGGCGGGTTTTTTCCCCCGAGTGGGGTTCAGGTTTTTTTTGCCTCAGAGAGGGTCCAGAAACTCCCACCCCGGTCTCGAATGCGCCGAGAAAGGTCTGGCGGGGGGATGGCGTGCACAGAAAAGGTTTTCGCGGGGGGGGGTCGCCCCACAGGGATGGAGTGCCCTTCGGAGGTCGATGCCGCACGCCGTCTTTCCAACGCCAACCGTGTAGATTAATAGAGGGAGGTGAGAGGAGGAGCAGGAGGAGAGAGAACGGATGAAGAGGGAGAATGAGGAGGCGTGAGGAGGAGAAGAAGGAAGAGAAATGTGAGTGGGGAGGAGGGGGAGGAGGGGGAGAGGGGGTCTTGCGCTGGCCGACGCGAGGCCAGCGATCGACCGTTGCTTGAGCCAGCGCATCAGCTTGTCGCAGGTGGGGCCGCGCGCGAGGGAGGAGGAGGAGTAGGAGCAGGAGGAGGAGGAGGAGGAGCAGGAGCAGGAGCAGGAGCAGGAGGTGGAAGAAATCGAAGATAGAGCCTTCGTGTCGTCTGGGGATATGATGGGACATGTATTGGCCCCAGGAGACTTCCAGGGGCCTGGAATCACAAGGGGAGTCCGAGGAGGAGAAGCTTTATTTTGCGTTATTGCGAGCACGAGCTGCCAAGGCGAGCAGAGACGTTTGATAAGGAAGATGAGGATTGGAGATACGAGAGATTCGAGGACCCGCACGCAAAGAATGAAGCCGGCAAGAAATCCGTTTGTACGCTCCACCCTTGGAGTGAATCATACCAGGTTTCATCAGGCTCGCCATGCAGAAGGGATGAGTGAAGTCTCTGCAACGAGAGGAAGGCCTGTCCTACATTCTGCTTATGCTGTTTGGACCGCCCGATGAGGTACTCCTGGAAACTGGCAGGTGAGCTGCACCATGGCTTCCCCAGGTTGCTCTCAGCCTAATGGCTTCTCCATGTCAAAGACATTATGTAAGTGGTTGATATTGATGGGTATGCGAACCACTGGTTCACGAAGTACTTGATCTCCAACCTGTCCCAGCGTCGGTTCACCTTCAAACAAGCATGCAAAGCTTGTTCTCGACACCTCGTGTTCTCCCTGAAAAGACGACCCGAGCATGATCAGAGACTGAATCCTCAATGACCCCACGAAAATTGGGATATCGAATTGTGTCACCAACTCCACCCTCATGTGAACTCTGAGCTCGTCAAGCCTCATCCACCAGATTTGTCACGCAACTCTGCGAAGGTATTGTGCCTGGTGATTTCGATGTTGTGTCTTGATATGTCCATGTTGGCAGTGGCGCTGATGTTTGTAATCAGACGTTGCACCTATACAGTATATAGAACCGCCGACTAAAATATGAATATACGGGTATAATACACCTGTATATCTATATATCTATATATATGTGCATACATACACATACACATATTTCAGCACTTGCGAGCCATAGGGAGGCCTTTTGTTTGGGGAGTTGGTTGGAACATGACGCCACAGGTGCTCATCATCACGGGCGAGCTGCAACTTGTACCAACCGCTACCGTTGCTCAAGACAAGTGTACATGCACATCAGACAAAGGCCGCAGTCTCGACAATTCCTTGGCTTCCCGACGCGGTACGAGGCATGGTGAGATTGATCCTTGGCCCCCCATCGCCACGCATTGGGGAGTGGGCCTGGATCACACTTAGCACAAGAGATGGCGTTGCCCAGGCCTCGGTCCAAGGAGCGCCCCTCGGGAGCGCCGCAGCGGCCACCATGGTACGACGAGGTCGCCCAGGAGGCGGGCCATATGAGGGACCAGGATCGTTTACCCTCTGCCTGTCATTTGTGGGCAGAGCCCGCGGAGACAGCGCTTGCAGCGTTCCCAGATGAGCAACAAGAATCACCGCAGCACGAGTCAGCTCCTACAGTTGCGGTTTGTCGCTTCGCTTTGGAGAGGCCCCACGCAGAGGATCGAGGGGTGCAGCTTTCGAATTGGTGGCGAAAGGCTGGAGCAGCCTGCGTCGACCTGTCCATGGCTAGACTAGAGGCATCGACAGAGTTTGCAATTTCATACATGGCAGGCTCAACACAGTCAAGAAGCCGCGGAAGGTCAGGTGCAGTGACGAGAGGCGGAGCGCTTGAACCGTACGAGCCACTTTGCATTGGCGCTTTGGCGAGGATTGGATCAATGACAGAAGCTGGTTGGCAACCAAAAAAACCAACGGCCGTCGATGTCAGGGCGGCTCGCAGATCGGCCACCGACTGAAAAAATAATGTAGGGCAGCAGGTCATGCGCAACGACAGCTCTGCACATCGTCGGACTACGGCGCCTCAGGTTTGCGTCTTCTTCTGCTGACGGCGGACCAATGATGCAATGCTTCTCATGAGTTCAGCGAGAAGGCGACTTTCGGGGTCGATCGCTACAGGTCGCGGCAGTTTCAGTTGTTCGATGAAGAATAATACATGGACGCATCTGTCCTCGCGAATCAGGTGGGAAAGATCGGGAAATTGCCGCAGCATTCGAGGAGCGTCATCGCCACCCAGCTTTCTAAGCCCGTGGGAGGGCATGGGCCGTTTGGGCTTCTGCCAGATGCACCTCGGATCTAGAGCATGGCCACGGCGTACGGTCGGACCGAGGCATGAGATCGAGGTCGGTTCGGGGAGGGTACCCTAATGTTCTGCGTGTCTTTTCGATGTTCTCGTGCATCCTGTTGAGGGTAGCCTTGGATGTTCTGGGTGTTTGGGCCAGCGGAGGGTCTCGTGTTCTTGAGGGATGTTCGTTTGTCCTAGGTCCGACCGTACGCGCGTGCTGGCAAGCACGTCGAGCTGGCAGTCTGGAAGCAGCCTCTCGTCACAGAGGCGACGCGAGGCCTGACGCGCCAGGTCGCTTCGTCTGTCATCGAATTGAAGATGGCCTTGGATACCATCAGCCATGTCCTGCTCTGGAGATCTGCGACCAAACGTAAGTTTCGTTTCCAAGACGGTGCATGGCCTCATTGCAGTCTCATGGAGGTAGATGGTCGATCAACTCCAGCCTGATGGTGAGCACTGGCATATCCACAAACCGCAGCGTTTTTGTTGGACGTGGGTTTGCCGTCGCCGTCAGCGCATGCTTTCCCACGGGCGCGTGCGACCACTTCGATGTTATCTGGCCATGTTTGATTATTCCTGCGATGGTTAACGGTTTCACCTTGAAGCGAGTGGCGCAGATGATAATTTTGCCCACATCATCGTGTGTGCCGCGAAGGAAGCGCGCATATGTTTTGCGCAGCTGCGGTTGATTCTTAGTGCTGACAAGGTTCAGGTAACAGCCGCGGAGGGCGGGCATTGCCGCGGCGTGAAAAAGCCTGGAGTTGGCGAACGAATAGGTGGTCGTTTTCTTATTCATTGTTTTGCCGATCGGCGCGGGCCCTTGCACACACCCCCTCCCCCCCATGGAGTAGATCTTCGTTGTTTTTGGCGCCTGTTTCGAGCAGGTGGGGTCCTTCCCCCATAGGACACTGTTGCAAACAGTCGCATGAAGCAGAGGTCCGGAGTCAGATCCCCCCCCTCCCCCACCCTTCTGCCCAATGTCGAAACGCCGAATAAGAAAACGCCCACTGGCGCGAGGAGGCCGCGCTGTGAAGACGCAAGGGGCGCACATTATTGCAGGATTGTGGAGGCCTTACGGCCGGTGCCGCCGACCCTGCAGGCGGGGCCTCCCCTGGGACCCCGGGGCCACGGCCACGGTCGGGGCCGGGGCTGTGCCCAGGGCCGGGACCAGGGCCAGACCACCCCCCTTCCTCCTCCTCCTCCTCCTCCTCCTCCTCCTCCTCCTCTTCCTCCTCCACCTCTTCCTCCTCCACCTCTTCCTCCTCCTCCTCCTCTTCCTCCTCTTCCTTCCTCCTCCTCCTTCTACCCAGGGAGGACCCTGCATGAACTCGGGCACCGAGTCGAAGGCGCACGTGGAATTCACCCAGTCAACCGTGGCGATCCTCTGCGACGTCGCGTCCCCTGTTACCCAAATCACCCGGTAGCGCCAGCCTGGGAGCGCGAGCTTCCCGTTGATCGAGAGCACGCCTGGCAAGGCACCCGTGAATCGTGAGTTCCACTCCTTCCCTGCCCCCCCTGTCCACATGTGGGGCCGCCCCCTGGTACCCGCTGGGATCCCCCAGGGCCGGTCATCTGACTCAGGATCCCCCCCTCCCCAACATCCCGCTACCCCCCCTGGTTAATAAACATCCCCTCCCCCAGGCGGGCCCATGACCCTCCCCCCTACCATCCCTTTTTGCAAAAAAAGCATGCTCTTTGCCTCCAGATCTGGCGCATGCGCGGGCGCCCCGCGACCACTTTGCATTGGTTTTTGATGGGGACGGCGGGGGTGCCGGCATATTGCTTGCTGCCCGCAGGTCAACCATCCTCGTCAAAAATTGAATTACAGTCATACATATTGGCTCCAAATCTGGAGCATGCGCAGGGCCGTCTTTATCTGAGCTCTCATCTGTTTCACGCCCCCTCGAGATGTCACAATTTGTCCATCGGTGCCGGTGCTTCGCGCTCCAGAAATGGCCGCCCTTTTCAAAGAACGTTCGGCACTTCGCTTCAGGGGGATTCAAGATCCCGAACTCCTTGGGGGCAGTGCCACACGCACCTGGGGACCCTGTTGGTTCCCCGTAGCTGGCGCACCTGGCGCGGCGGGAGCACGTGGCACAGTTGGCGCACGCGGAGCATGCGCCGCACCTGGCACGCTTGGGCCTCCAGGGTGCCTGGTGCACCTGCAGCCCGTGGCGCGCATGGCATGCGTGGCGTTCCTGAGCGATCCGCTGACACTCGGGTTATGTATTGGGAGGACGGGTGGGAGTGAGCTAGACGGCCTGCTATCTAGGAGAGTAGCTTGACCCTCCCCTACCCCCACACCCCCTTCCCCCCTACCACCCCGCACCCCCCCCGTCAGGGAAGGGAAAAAGAGAAGGGAACCGACTTACAACGCCGTTTCTTGTTTCTGTTCGTTCCTCAATTATTTTTGGACTGTCGACGACGACGACGACGACGACGACGACGACGACGAAGTCGACGACAGCGTCTCACACACGCCGAAGGGTCGGCGGATTTCGTCGGCTAGCCAATTGTGGTATAGGAGCCTCGGAGGCCATCTTCGGGCCATCTTGGAAGAGCTCAATGGAAGAAGGAGGGGGCACTAAGTTAGTGTTGCCCCCCCCAGGAGACCAACATGGGGCCAAAACCTAAGCAACGCCACTGGTTTTGCCTTCCAGCCGACGCCGTTTTGGACGCTCCAGTCGGTCGCGAACCCCCCTCCTCCAGATCCAGATCCAAGGGGAGGGGTTGGGGGGAGGGGTCAAGCTACCCACCCGCCCGCAAGCTGTCCAGCTCACTCCCACCCGCCCTCCAAACACATATGTAACACCCGAGCCTGAGCACGTGCAGCGGTCGTTTCTGGATGGGCAACTACTAGGAACCAAAGCCGACCCCAGGTACGCGACGCTTGGGCGAGGTGCGCCACGCGTGCCACGGGCGCCACGCGCGCCGGGTACCCCTGGGGCCCGAGCGTGCCAGGCACGCTTGGTGCGCCAGATGCGCCACGTGCTCCGGGTGCGCCACGTGCGCCGCACACTCCAGCCGCGCCAGGTGCGCCACCTTCGGGGCACGTGCGGAGTGTGTCAGGCGCGCCTGTGCACGTGACAGCACACATCGGGAAACATGTCGGCCCCCACCATCCTTGTCGAAAATCAATGCCCATCATTGTGTCTGGTGGGCCTGCGCGCAGCAGGCCACGCACCACCACCCCCGCTGTCCCTGTCAAAACCATTTGACAGTGATCGCGGGATGGCCGTGCATGATCCAGATTTATCTGCGAGGTGCATGTTGTATGATTTTTTGTCAGGGATGGTAGCCATGCGCGCAGCAGGGAATATGCTGACACCCCCGCCCCGCCGTCGCTATCAAAAACAATACAAAGTGATCGCGGGCCTCACGAACATGATTCAAGACTTCGCCCCGAAGTGTACTTTGTATTTTTGTTGACAGGGATGGTGGGGGGGGCGCATCGGCTTGGCCGCGCATGCTCCAAATGTGAAGGCAGAGTGCGGCTTGTATTGTTTGTTGGACAGTGATGGTGGGGGGCGGGTCGTCATGGTGTCCTCATGGTTCCTGGTTGGACGCCAGTCGCCTGGGGAGGGGGTGTCTATTAATAAGGAACAGTGATAATCCACTCCCCGAAGGAGCATGGGGTTGGAAGAGGGAACGCTCTAAACCACTCACGCCCTCAAGGGCTGGCGGGATTCAATTTAACTGAGAGCTCGTGCGCTCCGTGAGCAGTTGGCGGACCAAGCTACGACGCGATAGGCTGGGCAGAGACGGGGCGAGGTAAGACACCGTTGCTCGACCTCTCAGCCGCGCGCGCCGAAACATGTCACACCATCCATCCTAGGCGGTGGAAGTGTCTCGAGTGCCAGTCTGAACCCGATGCAAGAGGCAAAAGAGTTCTAATTCACTGGCTGAAGCAGCCCTGCAGACCAGGCCCCTCTGCCCTTGGCCGTGCGGCGGGCCCCGAGAGACGGGGCCTCAGGGCGCACCCGTCACACGTCTTGAGGTGGTTTGACGTGGGGAGGGGGGCTGGGCGGGAGCGTGTTCTGGCGTGTGAAGTGCGCGGGGGGCTCGGCACACACCATTTCAGGGAGGAGGGAAAGTTCCTCCTCCAGTGTCGCCCTCCCACAAGGACAGGGCGGCTCTAACT